GCTTAGTTGCCAGCCAGGTTAAACCACGACATATATTTATTGCAAAATGTATAAATAAGCTATGGCTATGTGAAAAAGTAAAGCTGAAGACAGTTGTGTATCTGGACATGAAATGAGGAGTTGTTCATAATTCTTGTATAAATTAATGCCATAATTAAAGATCAGGTCTTTAAAAACCTCCCAAGAACCAGAGTTAAGACTTGCATGACAACATTTATCCTCATTCACATTGCTGAATTGCACACACCTTTACAGTAATCTGCGGGATCCTCTTGCTCCTCATCGTCGGACCCTAAAATCTCCTCCTCTGGCTCTGGCGGGGTGGGTTCCGGCAGGGGTGGAGGTGGGGGCGGGGGGGTGGAGGGAGGTGCAGATGGAGCTTTCTGTTGAGGCTCTGGCCTGAAAACGAAAGAGAGTGCATGCTCAGTGAAGAGCTTCCTCACAGGGGTAACCCAGCCCTCCAGAGGGGAAGAAAAAACGCCTGGGGAAATACCAGTGTGTCATCTTTCAAATCACCTGTGGGACCCTAGGAAGGCATGGACAGAGATATGGAGCTTTCTGTTGAGGCTCTGGCCTGAAAACGAAAGAGAGTGCATGCTCAGTGAAGAGCTTCCTCACAGGGGTAACCCAGCCCTCCAGAGGGGAAGAAAAAACGCCTGGGGAAATACCAGTGTGTCATCTTTCAAATCACCTGTGGGACCCTAGGAAGGCATGGACAGAGATGCACCTGACCAGCCCAAAAGCAGGTCTGAACTGGACTTACTCACTGGAACAGCTTGTAAAAGATACATAAAGTATATAAGCAGACGCGGACAAGCTTTTAGAATTCCTGATGAGCAACTGAGATGATTGAGAAGACATACTTTTTGGAGAATATCAAGTTATTCAAAAGCTCCTGCCTGCTAGCTGAAGGAAGAAAGATCTCATTAATACACAGCAAGAAACAATCTTCTAGCGACACTGACCCAGAACCAGGTGACTTAATGCACTTCTCATCTATAGCTGCTGCCACAAGTATGGAAAGCTGTATCAGTATACAAAATACTGAAAACAGCTATTAGGAACTGAGAGAGACAAATTAGATTTCCTAGGTAGCCTATGATGCGCTCCCAAAACACACACAGCATGCTTTAATATGCACTAATTGGGGGGTAAAAATAAAACCCAAAAAAACCACACCAAAACCCACCACCACCAACCAAGAAGTTTTTTTCTGACTGTCTTACATCTCCAGCTGAGGGGAAAAAAAAAAAAAAAAAAGAAATATGTTTTATATCCTATCCTGAGAAAGGCTGTACTTGGTATTTCTAAACATTTAGAAATTCTGAATATTTTCAGTACATATAAAATCCAGCGTTGAAGCACACCTGTTTGTCAAATGATTAAGAAAGTCTTCTCCACACAGCTTGACACTTATTTTTTTTTATTCATACTTGCCAAATAATACACTTTCAAAATACATTTGCAAAGTAACTTAAAGCATTTGTGCCATCAAAAGCTGCTATAATTTGCATTTGTATCTACTTAAAATCTAAGACATCTGAAAACCACCATATTAACAGTATTTTGTCGTTCATACAATAAATAGAAATCTGTAATTTGCTAATTTTTCAGCTCCTAAAATCTAGATTCAAATACTTCCCTGATCATGAGTAAAAACTGTATTTATGTTTATCCTGCTCCTATAGTCTTCCTCCTTATAATTCCCCCCGCCACTTTTTCTTTCTACACACTGCAATTGTTCAAGACAGACAGAGCATTTGGAGTCGAAGAGTACACAGTTGGTCAGAAATAAATTCCACTGGCAACATGCTCCGCCTGCACAGCAGCTGCTATTACGCCTTTGCTTTAAAGGACATCACTGGAAGTTGCATGCATACCAAATTTATCTGCCCGCTACCCCTTTCAGATAACAACATTCTTCTATTCGTTCAGTAAATGGTCAGATTTTAAAAATAATATTTGGAACTAATTTATTAATGGTTTAAGTTATGATGAGAATCTACCCAAATTAATAAATCTACGTAATTTTTAACTGCATAAAGCTTAGGACAGAATAGAAGAAAGAAAAGGGATGCATTTGTAGGACAAACAATAAATACGTTTGCATGTGCTCTTACTTACATAATTTATACTTTTTTTGCCTTTATCTTTCCTCTTTTACTGCCAACAGATGTCTCTATATTGTAGATTGAGAGGAAAATAAACTGATGCAGCAAATTGAAGGTACAGCACATTCTCTGACCAGTTTATCTCACCACACATTAGATTAATGGCTCTCCAATAGTCTGGTTTCATGGTGTCAGCAAGCTGACAGCCTCCACGCCTGGACTGATGTTGGCAGAAAGCTTTAATCAAACAAATCATAGCGTAAGGATCTACATTACAAACCTTGAAACCTCATCTGCTGCACACAAGGCCATTCTGGATACATAGATCGAGAACTATGAACACTTAAAAATTAATAATGTTAATGATCAGCAAGAAAAATAAAGCACAGTAGAATAGCCTGCAGCTTATCAATATATCTGAAAGCAGTGTGCCAGG